GCCCGCCCGCTGAGCTCCTTTCCCCCTTTCCCCGGACTCTGGGAGCCGTGCCCGTGCCAGGGGAAGGGCACCGCGGAGGGGCCGTGCCCGCCCGCCCCAGGCCGGGCCCGGGGCCGCTCCTGCGGCCGCCGCCTTCCCCGCGGGGGAACGAGCGCCCGCTCCGCTGCCTCGTTTATTTGTGTTTGGAAGGGCTCCACGGCTCCTTCCCCCTCGAAAAATAATGAAATATGGGACAAGCTTCGCTCTGTTTGTTTAAGTAGCGTTCTCTGGCTTATTCTCTGCGGCTACAAGTGCAGTTATTTTATTATTCTTATTTGCGAGCGTTTACTGTTGGCTGTTTCTTCTCAAGTAGCTGTTGGGACTGGCGTGCACATGGGAAGGGTTTGGGAGATGCCAAACTACACCCGCAGACGCGCCCCCCTCCCCAAGAGCCGCTCGCCCCCAGACTTTCCCCTTCCTCACCTCAAACTTTCAGAGGGCTCCGGTGTTATCGCTCCCTGCGAGAGCTGGGAGCGAGGGTGGATTTGCTGAAAACTTCCTCAAAACAAAAAAAAAAAAAAAAAAAAAAAAAAAAAATTGACTGAGAGGCAGAAAAGAGAGTGAGGGATTTTTTTTTTTTCTGGATGGGTGGGGGGACGGGACAGAGCGGCGAGCAGAGGGTGGGGGCAGCAGCAGGAGGAGGAGGAGGGTGGGCAGAGCAGATCTGAACCATGCCATTTATTCCGAGTCTTATCAAAAATCCGCCTCGCCAATCTGGTTCTCTTCAGCCTGCAGAATGCGACAGGGAGGCTGTTTACCCTGCGCTGACCTATTCAACTTTACCCTCCCAATAATACATTAAAAAAAAAAAAACAAAAAAAAAAAAAAAAAAAAAAAAAAAAAAAAAAAGAAAGAAAAAGAGAGAGCGAAGGAAGATGCAGATAAACCCCCAGCCCCTCTCCTCGCTGACGGCTTGATTATTTGAGGCCGTGGCAGAGAGGCGAGGGGTGAGGAAGAGGATGGAAAGGGCAGGGGAAGGACCTTGGATGCGGCCACAAGCGGCGACAAGGGCCACAGCCCCGCGCGCACGGCCCGGGGCCTTCGGTCCCGCTCCGCCGCGCTCTTTTGGGGGGTTCTACTCACTAGGAAAATCTGTTTTAGGGGAACACCTCGCACCCCCCAATAAAAGGCCTCTGTGAGCACCAGCAAATTTAGAGCTGGGTTTAAATCCACACCTCGGGGCTGCCTTTGAGGGCGGGAGGGGGGAACTGGGGGTGGTGCGAGCTTAGCGGAGCCGGCGATTTATTCAGGGGTGGGGGGGCAGGATATTCCCAGACGCTGAATTTTCTCTTTGGTTGGGAGAGATGGATGGAGGAGGGAGGGAGGGAAGGAGGGAGGGAGCGGGGAAGGAGGTAAAGCAGAGGGGGAGGGTTGCTGGGGAGTTTGATGATTGTCTTTGTGCCTTGTTCTTGTTTGCCGGCCAGAAAAATAGGCTGGAAAAGGAGGTTTGGGGGGGAGGGGGCGGGAGGGAGGGCTGTGGGAGAGGGAGTCTCTCCGGAGCAGGATCCCAGCTGGTTGGGCAGTGGGTCCCGGCACTTGGCGAGCGGAGCTGGACGAGCCCACGTCACCTCCGCGCTCCGCTCGGCTGCTCCGCGCCCCGCGCCCGGCTCCGCGCTCCGCGGCAGCGCCGCGAACCTGCCCGGAGGAGCGGGGCTTACCAGCCGCCCGAAACTTTTTTCTTCTTCTTCTTTTTTTTTCCGAGAGGGTGCTGTTTTCTTTTTCCGCTCTTTCGCCCTCTCGCGCTCTCTCTCTCCCTTTTTTTTTTTTTTTTTTTTTTTTTTAATTACTATTTTAAATTTTTAAATTATTTTTAGCTGAGCAGCGGCAAGAGTGGGCTGGGGAGAACTGCATCAGATCAGGCTGAGAAAAGGGTGGGGGTGGGGGTTTTATCTTGGTCTCAGGATCCTTTCTAGTGCGTCTGACAACCTGGAAGTGTTTGGAGAGAGCAGTAGAGAGAGAGAGAGAGAGAGAGAGAGAGAGAGGCAGGCTTGCATTGGATAGATTTTTTTCTTCCAGGCTGGGTTTTCACATGCTGATCCGCAAATATAAATAAATAAAAGGAAATATGCACACGAGAAGCCTGATCCCATTGTAATTTCCATTGCAAACGGGGGAAATAGAGCCACACATTATATATGTGGAGATGCATTGATTGCATGGAACTCGACGAGCAAGGTAACGGCTCTTGCATTGCCATGTCTGTCCGTGGGGTCTGTCCTCTGTGTGCGGGTGCGTGAGCGAGGCGCAGCGGCAGGAGCCCGGGGGCACCGCGGGCAGCGAGCCCCGGGAGCCCCGGGAGCCCCGGCAGCGGGCACGGAGCGGGCACGGAGCGGGCACGGAGCGGGCATGGAGCGGGCACGGAGCGGGCACGGAGCGGGCACGGAGCGGGCGCTGCTCTGCCCAGCGCTCCGCTGGGGCTGGGGGGGCCGGGCCGAAGCCGGAACAAAAGCAGAGGGTGGTGATTAGATTTGATTTTATTTCTATTTATTTCCCTCCTTGTGTTTTTTCCCCTCCCGCTCGGCGCTACTTTAGCAAAGCGAGATGCATTTTTCAGCCGGCCACCGCGGCCTGGTTCTGTCAAGCTCCATTTCTTCTCAGAAGCTCTTTTAAGGGGAAAAAAAAAAAAAAAAAAAAAAAAATGTTTTTTATTTGAGTATGATTCTGTTATTTTAAATATGCTTTCAAATGAGTAATCATAGGCTAAGGTCTTCAGCCAACATAAGAGTCATCTGGTTTTTCTTTAAAAAAAAAAAAAAAAAAAAGAAATTAGAAGCTACGGATCGCCAAATGTTCTTAGTTGTGGGGTTTTTTTTTGTCGTCACACCCTCTGTTTTTAAAATTATGATTATTTTTATATCTGCTTTAATTATGTCTGGGCGCGGACAGCATCGAGGAGGCTTTGCTGGGCTGGGCTGCGCTGTCATGGCTGGGTCCCTCTTTGTTTTAATAAACATGCTTTAGGGATTTTTATTATTATTTTCCCTCGTTCTACCCCCTAACCTTGCCAGCTCTA